CTTCACCCCTGAATTCTTTGTAACCACAGCTCAACTCAGGGGCTGAACTACACCTATTCATGCTTTTGTAAATCTACACGTGTTTATAATTTGGGGTTGCTCTGTGAAAACACACTTTTCTATTTATCTTCAAGTCAAGCAGCTGGGCCATCTTAATGATTCTTCTCAACACCAGGCCATTAAGACACACAGGCATGGGTTCTAGGCATGAAAACCCTCCTGGCCACGCTTCTTAGGTCTCCGTGGCCCCTGCTACTGAGGACTTCTTGATCACTAGATGGTCAAGGACCTGTCAACCCCCTGACAAGAGTTCAAACCAGACTAGAGGTCTGTGGGTAGCACCTGAGGGGCTCTGTCTGCTCTTTCCTGACTGTCACAAATAAAAGAGGAAGAAAATGTCATGTGAAGAATGTGCTCACAAAAAAGACTGCATCTCAGGGGCACCTGGGTGGCTCAGTGGGTTAAGCCTCTGCCTTCGGCTCGGGTCATAATGTCAGGGATCTGGGATCGAGCCCCGCATGAGGCACCCTGAGCCTGCTTCCCTCTCTCTCTTTCTCTCTCTCTCTCTGCCTACTTGTGATCCCTCTCTGTCAAATAAATAAATAAATAAATAAGACTGCATCTCTGCTGACCCAAGATAGTCAAATCTACTGCTTACTCAAGGTCGCCCACCCCAGCCCCTCAAGAAAAGAGAAGTAATGTCTTTTAATCTCCAACTCTTTATATTGCAAATTTTTAAGCCTACAGAAAAGTTGCAAGAACAGTATCATGCAAACTGTAGACCCTTTCTCTAGAACCAACATTTTGCCACATTTTCCTCCCTCTCTTCCTTCCTTTCGGTTTCTCTCTCTCACTCTCTCCAGTGTTTGTGTATATAAAATTATACACTGCAGACACAGACTTCTATTTGCTGAACAGTCTTTGACAATATAGTTTTCAGATGCAGGAAGTTCAAGACTGAGAAAATACTATTATCTAATATTCGATCTACGTCAAATTCCTCCAGTTGTCCCAAAAATATCTTTCACAGGTGCTCCTTCTCAATCAAGGATCACATGTCTTTTGGCATATCGCCTTAGTCACCTTTCATCTGTAACCATATTTCTAGCCTTTTGGGGAGGGAAGGTGTCTCCATGGTATGTCCTCTCATACTGGACTTTTCTGATCATTCCCTCAGAGTTGGATTCAGGCCAAATATTTTGGCGGACATTCTATCAAGGTGATGCTGTGACTTCTTAGTGCATCAGCAGGACACCTTTCGTTGTTTGTACCCACCATACATATTGGTAACTTTGATCATGGCCAATTAACTGTTTAAAGCTACAATGTCTTAACATGAATATTAAACCATTTTTATACCTTCTATTTCAAGTTGTTAACAACAGTTTTTCAAAATCTTACTCCCCAAAGCATATTTCAAAAGAGTTGTCTTTTATCTCTCTAATATATTCCATTTTTCCTAAACTAAGAAATGCTGTTATTCTATGATAAAAGGTCATATGCACCATAAACATTAAAGGCTTCCCAAAGGAAGTGGTTTTTCACTGGGTCTTGATAAATAAATGGGATTGTGTTGAGAATCCAAGGGGAAAGCATTATATTCACATGAAGTATCATGAGCAAAGGCATTGTACATGAGAGTAAATGTCTGAGGAACTGTGGGTTGACTGTAATAATCCAGGCAAGAGAGGAGGCCTACTCTAGGCCTTGTCCAGGGGTCAAGGAGATGCAGACAAGCAGACAGATGGGGGAAAGCTGCCAGATTCTCTAAGAACTGAACTTGGGCAACTATAGGTCTGTGATGCCTTTATTGGCACTGGGAAATCAGTGGGTGGGAGTGGTCATTTAAGTCTAATTTGAATATGTTACATTGTGGTGCCGGTAGGACATTGAGATGGAGCTGTCCGGTAAACAGAACAAGAGGTCCAGAGTTCAGGAGAAAAAAATCTGGTGAGCAATGATGATTTAGGTCAGTGCTATGAAAAGTGGGAATCATGGAGACAGATAAGAACATGCATGCAGAAAGAAATCAGACAACAGATCTGTTGTTTTCTTCAGAAAGAACCTAGAAGAACATTAACAGAATGGGGGGATGGAGGAGAGAAGGGTGGCAGTTTTGTTTCTTGCCAGAAACCCAACTACTGTACGAGTTTTTGGCAATGGTGTTTTGAAGGTAATTGTAGGGAAGGAAACACATCTGACCAGATTTGTAGTATCAGGAATCATTAATGAATGGGTAGCAATAAATTACATTTAGATAAGTATTTTCAGAAGGACTAAGGATAACTCTGTTGTGTGTGTTTCCAACACCATCATGCAATTAACTCAGTTCTGATACTCTGTACCTGGAGATTGTGTCAGATCCCACAGATTAAGGGCTCAGTCCCGTGAGACTTGCTCCCCTCCCCACTTCACGTAACAATCCCAAAGCCAAGTTGTCTCCTGTGTTTCTGACCAATGGGCTATAAATCTGAGGTTCCCATGACCCCCTCCTTGGGCTTGGTTAATTTGCTAGAGTGGCTCACAGAACTCAGAAAAACATGGACTAATATTTACCAGTTTACTATAAAGGATATTATAAAGGATACAGATGAATAGCCACATGGAAAAGTACGTAATAGGGCAAGACATGTGGGAAGGGGCAGAGAACTTCCACACTTTCTGGGCCTGCCACTCTCCCCAAATTTCCCTGGGTTCACCAACCAGGAAGCTCTCCAGACCCCACCCTTTTGGGTTTTTATGGAGGCTCCATTGGCCACTGGCATCTGAACTCAACTTCCAGCCCTTTCCCTTCACTGAGGTTTGGGGGTGGGGCTGAAAGTTCCAACCCTCCAATCACCTGGTAGGGTTCCCCTGGCAACCATCCTCCACCCCCCACCTTGGGGCTTTCCAGAAGTCACCTACCTCATTAACATAAAGTCAGGTGTGGTTGAAAGGGGCTTGTTGTGAATAACAAGACACTCCTTCAAACTTTACAGGACTAGCGCTATTTCAAGAACCAATGACAAAAGACCAAACATTACTACAAAGATGTCCCCGTGGCTCTTACTGCTTAGGAAATTCCAAGGGTTTTAGGAGTTCTGTGCTAGACATGGACAAAGACTAAATATATTTCTTATTACAAACGACCACAATAACAAACTGGTAAAAAAGATAGAAGTGATAAAGAATGAAGATCAGTGAGGAAGTGTTATTCGGAAAAGGGCAAGAAAGAGGAAAAATGATGGCAAAGACAAAGCAGAAAGGAAACTCAAATGGAAAGGAGAAGAGGAGAAATAAAAGTCAAGGACAGCAGTGGGAGGAAAGCAACCAGGGCCCCTTGTTTTCTTGAATCAAACTCCTGCCTGCTCTAAAATGGAGGCAATATGTGAAGAGTAACATTTGATCCATGATAAGAAATGCTATAAAGATCAACGCACATGTTCTAAACCTGTAATTTTGCTAGAATTATTCATGATTCACATTTGAATTAAAGTTTCAAAACCCTTTTCTCCTTTTCTGGTCTCTGGGCTATTGCTTTGGTTTCTATGGATTTTACTGAGACCTCCGTTGATTTCATGCTGTGCATTTTATTCCTATAACATAAAATCCCAGAGTTCCAAGGTCAGGAGATGCCACAGGCTTGAGGCCAAACAGATATTTGTCAGCAGTATTAAGACTGTGACCTTAACATTTGGAAGAAATGGACTTCATAAAAATTCTAAAATAATATATACACACATTACTATATGTAATACATAATACAGATATAGAGATTATTTATTTTATAAAATATTCAAATCCATTCCTTCCAGATTTATCTACTGTCTATCCATCTGTTAACTTACCTGGCTACATGATTCCAACAAACAACATTAGAAAGATTTTTTAAAGAGTAATTACCAGCTTACCTACTGACCAGTATGGGAAATAAAACACATTCACAGAAATATCAATTCTTATGATTAAAAAAAAAATCTACTGCATTCAACTTGCTGAAACCACAAACCTTATTACCAAAACGCTTATGGTTCACAAACACAATCTCTTTTTGCAGGGGGAGGGAGGTACCTCTAATTTTAATTAGTCATCCTGATTAGGCTAAGAAACTTTCTGACAACCCTCAGTAAGGTCTGTGTAGGAGCCTGCCTAAATTCTTGACATTTTTCTAATTGTTTTCTGCCAAACCACATGCAGAGAAGAGGGTCGCACTGGAAACAGTCAGTGAGTCCTTACTGGGCCACATACATCCTTAGCATTTTGTGCACACGTGTATGTGTGCACGGTCCTTCCGGAACTAAGCTATGTTTGTCTTCTTGATCTTCCACTTTCCCTCTTTTCACCTAAAAGGCAACATCAACTACATAACTAACATGAGTCGCCAGGAATTATATATCAATGCATTAAAAACTTCAGCTTCTGACCACGTGTGACCCCACGAGTTTTGTCTGTCTAAACGGATAGATTCAGGAGGGCAAGGGCTTTTCTGAGACAAGTCTCCCTATGACATAAGGATCACCTTAGCACCCATTATGTCTTTAGAAGAGATTTGGTCTCCAAATGTGGTATTTAAACACAAGTAGATTTTAAGGCCAAAACCAGCAATTTATGATGGAAGTCCTGCTTGTAAATCATGAAATTCTCCTTCTCTACCTCCCCTCCCCTACCTTCCAGGGGAATGCAGTAAAAAACGAAATGAGAAAACCATAATTACAATCACATTCCTCCCCTTGGGGTCAACCTAATTATCAGCCTCTCACCCCAAAACAAATTCACCTCTTTAAGAATGATGAGGACCGTCCTTATCATTCATGGGAAGGATACAAACAAAGATTAAAATGCCATTTAGGCATAACTGCGATCTTTCATTTTTAAGTGACCTCTCAGTTTAATGGATTCAATGTATCCTCATTCAAGTGTAACATATATTGCAGGGGAGAACTGTAATAAATGGCACTGTCATGACCCTTAGGTTAGAGCTAAGGAATATTGGAAAATAAATCTTAATTCTGGATACTCACCAATCCCGCAATGGGGGTAGGCAATCTATTGATCTTTTTAACAAGTCCTGGCTTTATAGCATTCAGCAACCTGTCATGAAAAAGGCAGAATGTCAAGTGAGGCATAAAGCAAGACGGATCACACAAATCTCACCTTTATCCGGGGCTACGGCTAAATTGCCGAATAGGAAAAGCATTGAATTTAAAGCACGTAGTAAATCGCAGTACTCAATGAGCCTTCATGCATACAAGTGGGGAGCTTTGCCAACATCAAGTTTGTCCATAGCAGGTGAAGTTTTAGAACTGAGGAATGCTGGGAGAGAAGGGATGCAGACGGGAAGGTGCGCCAAGGGAAAGGACACGGATATGAACGGGATGGAGGTCAGGAGGGAACTGTCTAGGACTGGAGCCAGTGATTATTACCACAGACAAGGCCTGCTCCCAATTCTCCTGGCCAAGGCAGGGGTCTCTCCAGGAATGCATTAAGTTCAGAGACCAACATCTGTCTTTGCAAATAATTTGCCAAGACTAATTCCACCTCCAGACCCCTTTTGCTCATTGAGAGTGCCTTGTTAAATGTGGGCGATCTTCACTTAAGAAAGGGAAGAGAATGCTTAGTGAGAAGTTAACCAATCATGGCTTAAAGACTCTAAATAAGGCTTACCACAATTCCCTGGGTACAGAAGATATGTGAGCAAAACATCTTGGGGGTCAAGGTTGAAATCACGTAAAAATGGTAATATAAGCAAAGGAATGTAAAAAAAAAAAAAAAAAAAAAAAAACCAACTCTAACTCCCTGTCGTCAGGAAATAGTTCAGAGCGAAAAGAAACAAGGAAGGCAATCTGGAAAAGGAAAATAGGGCTGGCATCAGGGTGATGTGGTGGAATGTTGCATTTGTGAACTAGGTTATTCAGAAAGGAATAATGGAAGGCAGGGAGCTGCAGAAGGGAAGCGTTTATTCCCACATTCAGGAATTAGAGAGGGGAGGCCATCGGGTAACTTATCTCAGGATTGCAGTGCAAAGAGAAAACTAAGGGAGGCATTTATCACAACTCGGGGTCCAGCAAACTAGGAACCATGGGCCAAATATGGCCCAGTGCCTGTTTTTGTAAATAAAGCTTTACTGGAGGCCAGCCATAGCCATTCATTTATGTATTATCACTGCTGCTTCTGTGACAGCAGAGTTGAGTTACTATGACAGAGAACATATGGCCCACAACGCATACAATTTTTACTATTTGGCTCTTTACAGAGTAAGTTTGCCAACTTCTGTTGTAATTCACGGAGTCCAGAATGATAGAAAATTCGGAAGAACCTATGCTTGATAGATCTCTACAAATCAGTAACAAAAGAGTCATTGAAACAGGTTGGCAATTAGTCTTGAATTCAGCTTCTGTTTGACTTTGACACACTGTATTCATGAACTGAGAACCATCGGCCCACTGCTCATGACAGCTGGGATCCTGGTTTCACAGCAAGGATCAGTCCGTCGGTTTGGGTAACTTTCACTGCAATTTCAGCACGCTCCCACCAACAGGCACTGCTCAGAGGAGACACGTGCTTTTCGCCCAGTGACAGCCAAGATGGCACTCTTCTCATGAGCCCGCTTAGTTTTAAGTAGGAACCTAATCTTTTTTAAAAAGTGCTTCTTTATGACTTATTTTGGAATTACTGGTTTTTCAAGTCGGAAGACAGCTTGTTCTCTCCTCATTTTACAGCTTAGAAAATTGAAGCCTGATGATGATAAATGAGTAACTTCTCCAGAGCTGATGAGTGGCATAATCAGGCCCAGAATCCAAGTTTCCTGGATCAGCACATTCTCGTGTGCAGTGTTAGTTAATGTTCCGTATCTCATGCTTTCAAATAAGCAGATAGATATGATGTCTCCAAAGTGAAGTTTTTAAATATATAAACACCTGGGATATGTTACTTTTTTCACTAGTTCTTAACAGTGTCATGTTTAACTGTATTTTAAAATAGTATCAGTGCACAGTATTGGTAATTCAAAAGGATTCAAAAGACCTAAGTCTCACCGTAACCCCAGTCCCCCAGGGTCCCAGACTATTCCCTGAAGGTGACCTTAAAGACCTTTCAAAGAAAATATATAGAGATACATACAATTTTTTTTTTAAAGGACAGATGTAGCATAAGTAAGCACTGTCCTCCACCTTGTTTTACCACTTACCAATAGTACTTGGAGGGACAACAATGTGCCTTGGAGCATATGCCTTATGGATACATGTGGACCTACATCCTTTTTCACCACTGTGGACCGCAGACTGGATGTGGAGCTGGCCGGGGACTGAGAGCATTGGCTCTGGAGTCCAACTGACCGAATCCAAAGCCCAGCTCTGCCATTCCCTGGGGCTATTACTTAGGGCAAGTCCCTTAACTTCAGCCTTGACTGTAATATAGAAATACAATAGTACCAATTGCACAGGGGGTCACTGAGTCTTAAATGGGACAAAATACGTAAGGAGTTAGCACAGAGCCTGGTGCATAGTAAGGTCTCTATCAATGCTTCTCTACATTTGTCTGTAAGCATTTATTTTATACTCATTCAATTCATTGCATTTTAGATCAACTACTTACTCTAATACTTTTCAATATTCTAATGAAATAAAATAACCACTGCTACCAGATCCCCCAAGCTTTGTTGCTAATTAGCCAAAGCAGAAAGAATAACAAATACCCTATTAAAGAATTTATAAACTGAAAATCCTCCTTTAAAAGGCATCTTTGGGGGCACCTGGGTGGCTCAGTGGGTTCAAGCTTCTGCCTTTGACTCAGGTCATGATCCCAGGGTCCTGGGATCAAGCCCTGCGTCTGGCTCCTTGCTCAGCAGGGAGCCTGCTTCCCTTCCTCTCTCTGCCTGCCTCTCTGCCTACTTGTGATCTCTATCTGTCAAATAAATAAGCAAAATCTCTAAAAGGCACCTTTGTATTAATAGGTTTAGTAGCAATGCACCATCAACTCCTCTTTTATTCAGGTTCAGATTTTTTTAATAGACTTTATTATAGCTGTCCTTTCCCGAATTATATGGCAGAAATCTTTCTTGTCACACGATGTTCTTCAAAAACAACTACGAGATGCTGGACCTTAACCACAAAAGAGCCACAAAAAAAAAAAAAAAAAAAAAAAAAAAGAAAAAATGTTTAACCACAAATTAAAAAATAAAAAGCCAAAGTGCTCTTAAATAATTGGAATGCTTTCAAGATCAAGGCAGCTGTGTTTTTGGGGTGGGTTTTTGGGTTTTTTTTTTTTTTGTATAAACATTGCTCTAGTCCCGTACGCAGTTTACAGTACACAACAATAAAAGATTACACCGAATTGACATTGCGGGAGTGCCCAACACCTGCCTGTCTTGTATTTTGCATTAAACTGAGGACATTTCTTGCACACATTAGGATACAGATGAGAAGTTCAAAAAATACAGCGATGGGTAACAGTCAAGGATATTCACCTGCAATTTTACTAACAACCCCTATCGCCTACCTATGTAAATTAAATATAAATATTTTCAATAAATAGTTCTTGATGACAGGCTTTAAAGCAATGATTATGGGGTGCCCGGGTGGCTCAGTGGGTTAAAGCCTCTGCCTTCAGCTCAGGTCATTATCTCAGGGTCCTGGAATCGAGCCCTACATGGGATTCTCTGCTCAGCAGGGAGCCTGCTTCCTCCTCTCTCTCTGCCTGCCTCTCTGCCTGCTTGTGATCTCGGTCTGTCAAATAAATAAATAAAATCTTAGAAAAAAAAAAAAGCAATGATTATATTTTATATTCACGAACCCTTTGAGATCCACTGTCTCCAACTATCCTGTCCTGTAGAGACAGGTCATGTATTCATTCCACCATTTTTGTAGAAGAAAAGACAGCCCCAGACAGATGGGAAGACCTCCCTCAGAGACATGCACAGCTGGTTCGCACCACAGCCAAGACAGCCTTCATGTCTTAGGCCAGTCATTTTATATGGAAACTTTGTGCTTTAGAAAGTCCTGCTTCAGTATGTGCCATCAAAGTACAACTCGACACTCACACATACACAAAGAACAAACCTTTAACACTTAATGAAGAGGAAGGTGTAGTGAATTTGGAATAAGTAATCTAGGTTTTAAGAGCTAAACTCTACACTCATTAGCCACAGGCCACTAGAAGTCCCTTGAGCAGAGTGTCAGTTTTCCCTTAATGGGGATTTTGAAAACCTCACCTTCCATCCAGGATTGTGGTGAAGAGCCAATGGGACAATGTGCATTGCAAGCGTTTGGTAAATGGAAATTTATACACTCATACCCATGTGGTCTACTACGTGCACCCTTTTTTGCTAAGTAAGTTCAGGTCATTTTATTTTTATTTTTAAATTTTTTTAAAGATTTTATTTATTTATCTGACAGAAATTACAAGTAGGCAGAGAGGCAGGCGGTGGCGGGTGGGGTGGGGGGAGAAGCAGGCTCTGCTGAGCAGAGAGCCCAATGCGGGGCTCCATCCCAGGACCCACCCTGGGATCATGACCTGAGCCGAAGGCAGAGACTTTAACCCACTGAGCCACCCAGGCGCCCCAGTTCAGGTCATTTTAGTTTCAAGTTTTCCATTAGCCAGCTGGCGAAGACTAAGGTTAAGTTTTCCTTATTTTCTTTTTCTGGCCACCTTGGACAAAAATCTCACATTAATGAATCAAGTCAGCAAATGTGTATAGCTTGCCTAATCTACGTGTGATAAGAAATGACTAGAAACAGGAAGACAAGTCATGATCTGGGATAATCCTCAATTAGGAAAAAGTTAATGACATTAAAGGCAAGCACAAATAATGTGTTTCTTATACGGCAGAAATTAAATGGTGTCTACTAAACTCATACTCTAAATCTGAAACACACCGTGACCTGTATCAAGGAAGGCTATTCCATATGTTCCTTCACACACTCAACAAATATTTATGGAGCATGATGTTCTGGCCTGAAGCTGGGTACAGGGACACAAAGGAAGACACAATAGACCCCAGGTTGCTCCCTCATGGCGCATGCTCACTAACAGATTTAAAACCCACAGGAAGACACGAACTGTGCACATCTGTGGTTCATTGTCACACCACGTAG